GACCTCTAATTATTTCCTGCTTTATGTATCCCTTAGCCCACATTGAAGAAATAAAAAATATTCCTATTGGTATCCAGCGCAGAATAATACAACCTGCTTTTGTTTTATTTATTTTGTAAACAGAATGAAATATTAATGTCGTTGGGTCCTCCATAATTCAAAATACCATGCATCATGATTGAATTTCATGCTTTATCATGTGAATTGACACTGGTTAAACTATTTTTAAGTAATGGGGCAAATTCACTATTGCAGTAGGGTCCAAAATTGCATAATTCAGGCTTTTGATGGTCTTATTACCAAGTTGCAAAATGCAATAAGCTGTAGTCTGAGGTCTTTATGAAGTCACAAGATGCATTGGATTTGTGGGATTTGTGCAGTGAAACCTGTACATTAACACCTATATTAATAACATTCATGCTTTTCTGAATTCAAAGCATGACTGGTAGAAAAGCTGGCTTTATGCTTGAGTGAGAGCATTTCACTTTCTTTTCATTGGAGGAACTTTTAGCCTGGCAGCAATAGTGTTATAATAACTGCCAGCTGCTCACTTGGCACAAGTGTGTCTAGAACCAAGAGGAAGAGTCTGGTGCATTATAAGTGTAATTTACTTTTCTCTGAAACTTGAAGGTTTGGGCCTCATAAATATTTTGATCTGGTCTTTGATAGCCTTTGTACATATCAGTCTGTGAATGTGCATGTGGAGCATAGCTTGCAGATTTTAGTTTGGAGTGCATTGAAGTAATTCCCACCAGGATAAGAGGAGAAATTATTCTGAGAGATTAATCTCTGAGTGGGTGGTCAAGAAAGAAGGAAAACCTTTAACATTAAGCAGATGGACCTCCCTCAGTTTATACTGGATGTTGGGGTTGCAAGATAATAATCTCCCCAAATATTGGATAGTCTTGACCTGATTTTCACATCAAAAGAGTAAGGTTCAAGACATTATTTGTGAGGTAGAAACTTGGGAATGAAAAGGAGACTGCTTTTGTATCATCAGCTCTCTGTTTGCCCACTGCTGTCAGGGCAATGATACAGCAGAAATTAGGTCTGGAGAGGTACACAGGAGCAATCATTGTACCTTTCTCCACCTGTAAACTCACACAGCTTCAAGTCCCAGGGCACTTGTTGACTCACAGTGCCACTTTACTCTTTGGTATTTAAAACTGGCTTCAGAAACTACAGTGTACCCAAGGAGAAACCAGGGAAGGAAGACTATGGGTCTTGTTAACATCTTTGTTTCTAAATCCTTGAAATGTGTCTGGAAACAAGACCATACAGGGGTAGGAGGTAGGTAGGAAGACATGGTCGGCTCTGCTGGTCTGATTTTTGGGAGAGAAATTTTGCTTTGATCTGGTAGTCAATTTTAACATAAGTATCTGAGCAACAAACACCGAGGCACCCGAGAAACTTAATACTAGTAGCTGTTACCTTGCATTGCTAGGATGAGAGTTCCTTGCATCTCTACATCTCATTTCTTATAGTGGACAATCTCCAGTGAAATTAGAGGAAGCTGAAATTTCAAGCCATTTCACTCACATCCATGATGGAAAGGAAGATTTTTCCTTGTTCTGAAGATGTCCTTGGGTGTGCAAGGGAGTATGATATTTGGGAATTCAGAGCTCTAAAGGAGTATGTGATTTGAAACAAGTTGTTTAATTTGCTTCACAGTTCTTTATTAAAAACAAAAAACCCAGCAGTCCCTTATTTGTTGGCAGTCTTTCTCTGTGAAATAGATTGTTTGTAGAGGGAGTTATCTTCTTCAAAGTCCCATGCAGTAGTCAACTAATGTGTCTCTGATCTCAGTTTCTAGTGTAATGTAAACAAATACCGCTTTAATATAACAAAGTGCTGCTTTAGTGATACTTGTTTTTAGGACATTGGTGCAAAGCCTGATCTATTTCAAATGGGAAAGCAACATTTTGATTGAAAGCAACTGCAAAAACCAACCTGCTATGCAAATCCCAGGCTTTCAGTTGGGAGTTCCCACATCTAAGGTTTGCAGTTGGATCTAAATCCTGTTTGAGAATGTGGACAAACAGTAATGAAAAAAATGAAAGAAAGGTAGACAGATGACACAGTTTAGGAGTCTCCCATGCTGGCTATAAGCAGTAGCTGAAAGGAAGATGTCATTCTCTTCTTTCTTCCCCTCATTGTTTTTGTTGCAGTACAGCGGTAAGAGTATATCTGTGTTTGTGCCTTCTTCCAGCCACATATACACAACACTCATGGTTAATGAGAACCAGAGAAGGTGGTTCTTTCCCTTTCCTTTGTACTGTTCATACTGTTTATTCTCCCTCCCCTTCCTTCTGGATCTACCGGGGAATGAAAGAAGGAATATAGCCAGAGTTATGCTTTTTCCTTCATGTACGGCTGTATGCGTATTTGGGATATTACTACCATGTCTCTCTCTCCTATTCATCCACTTCAAGTTCCATCATATTTTGTGGTTCCCAGCCTTCTCTGACAGAAGAATGGTAATGTGCAGGTGATCTGTTTCTGCTCCAGCTACTTGCAGATTGCAAGTGGCAGTGAGCCTGACTAGCTGCTGCTTGTTTCATGGAATTACTGCCTCTTTTGGTTTGAGAAACAGAAAAAGAAACCGACTTCTCTACAGGTTGGCAGCAGGAGGAGGACTTATTTCTGTAGTGTCACCAGAACAGTGGAAGACTGCATTTTTTTCATGTAGGTTCTTTTTCTCATGAGCTTTCAGTGCCCTATGCAAAATAAATGTAGTTGCAGAAAATGCCATTGTCAAATTTATCCCAGCTTGTCTCAGCAGAAGCAGCATAGCTGAGAGCGGTGTGGAATTTTGACTTCTAGCTCTCTAAAGTAGTCAGTTCAGATGAGCTTTTACCTATAGGCAGAATAACACTAAGAAGTCCCTGAAGTATGTGCTTGTTTGGGGTTATATGCCCCATTTGATTTGGCTGTTCATTAAATGATCACTTACCAAGCTTTCTTATCAAAAACCAAACTGATATAAACAGGAATGTATAAAATTAGATCCAAACAGTTGTTGAAGTCTTAAACTCAAAAATTTAGGAGTGAACTGGTTTTATTTGTTTGTTTAATTAAGTTTTATGTCTTCCACATCTGGGGGGATGCACTGTTCTAAAATGAGCCCTGCTGGATGAGGTAAAGCTGTAAGTGTTGCACACTGATGCCTCCCAATGACCAATATAAAGCAGCACATGTATATTTGTAAAACTCTTCACCTCCCCCACTCATAATATCATTGTTAGCTCATCTTTTAAAGCAACTGTTAAATTTACCACGTACCAGCCAGCAAGTGTCTTTGTGTTAAATTATCATTTAACATTGTGCAGTGATTGTATATTGTCAAGTGAGGGAGCACAGCTGCAGTGTTTTAAGATGCATATACATAGAGCCGATAGCTCTTGTACTTTTAACGCAGTAGTAAGAATTCCATAGAAATTGAATGTAGCTAAATAGCTAGCAGACTCCTAATCCTTAAAAATAATGATTAAAAAAATAAATGGAAATGTCAATATATATAAAATTTTATCTCTTACCTTATGGTATCCAACAAAATATTTTGTTGTCTAAAAAGCCAGTTGTATTATTTAAGGAATGCATTCTCATTTTGAGTATTTTAATACTTCAAAAAATAACGTTCTCTGCAAGTTCCTACCTCTTTTTCTTGTATTTTTCCTCTCACAGATGTATTTAAATAAGACACTGATAAAAAAAAGAAATATCTGTTTTTAGGGACAGTCTAAAAATCCAGCAAGTTGACATCACCTTCCAGAGACAGTGCTCTTGGTTCAAGGTCAGACAATTGGTCTTTAACCCACCCCACATAGCTTGAAGTGGTTTTTTTTAGCACAGAGGTTGTCTGCTGATATCAGTCCTTTTTTTGTGTGTTTATATTGGTGGAACTTAATGAGATTACATATATTTTGATGAATAATTGCTGCCATGTAAACTTGCCACCTGCCTACAGTGACTCTTATGAATATTTGATGATAATAAGTAGTAGGAACTTCAGTGTGATGCTCGCATGCATTTAAAAAACCAGCAGCACATGAATAGCTTTTTTCTGCTTTTTTTCTTGCAGTAAACAGTATGATATTTATATACATGTTAATTATTAGGCATATCTAACATATTTCTGTTCTTAATACCAGGAGTTCAATTTAAATAATAATAATGTTGTTTTAGGAGGGGAAGGACGTTAAACAATTTTTAGCATCTAGATTTCTATTTTAAGTTGAGGCAGGGTTGACTGGTTGGTCTCATGCTTCTAGCTATGAATTAGTAGTTGAGAAAAAGGAAGAAATACAGTGGAACATGCCATTTTGCAGATGCAGCTGTATTCTACAAAATCTAAAATGAGGATTTGTAGATCAACAATTTTGTAGACTTCCGTGCAATGTCCGCTATCACCTTATAGATCCCATAGGCAGTAGTTGTGTGTCATAGTGCAAATTAGGCAATGTCTGTCAACAGCAGGCATGACCTTTTATCATCTCTTAATCTAGTTTCTTTTTTTGTAGACAGTGTAATAGAGGGTACTCACCTTGTGTTGTTTCAAGAAGTTTTTGTGTGAAGCTGGAGTTGAAAACCACATACCTGATTTAATTGTGTTGAATTGTAATTGTGATAGTTGGTTTTGTTTGCACATTTGAAAACTTGCTGCTTTCATTATCCAAGTTGCTTTACAGACCATGTTCAAGACACAAACTAATGTTATATAAGTTGCTGTAGTTTGTTTAATTGTATATTTTTCTTTCTGAGACTTGCAGGGCCTGCTATACAGCTGTATTTTTCCTTACTAAAGTGTGAGAACAACAGCAACGGCTCTGACATTTGCAGTTGGAGGGTTTTTGTAGTTAAAATAATCTGGCATAGTTGTTACTAGAATTATTTTTTCCAGTAGCTCCTGCATATTCAGAGAATAAATGTCATCAATTTATTAATACTGCTGTAATATTTGCTTGAAAAACGGTGCTTTACAGAACTTATTTTTCTTTCAGGGAATCAGTTTCCTCCTATTGCAGCTCAGGATCTTCAGTTTGTTCTGAAGGCTGGATACCTGGAAAAACGCAGAAAAGGTAGGTCTAACTATCTTTGTGAAAAGTAGTGCATATTTTATATCTGTGAAGTCTGTGTGTCAGTATTTGATGCTATACACACAAATAACTTTATATAGGAGTGAAAAATAAAATGGGATAGAAGCTGAAATGTTGAAGCATTATTAGGGAAAAGAAGCACAGCACACAATTACTCCTGTAGTATTAAAATAAAATCCTATTTCTTTATTGACTAAAAAGTCATGCTGTGAAAGTCCGCTGTCGGCGATAATTCAGAGACTTTCAGTAATATTTTTGAAGAAAACATTAGGAACGTATGTAAAAGTATCATATGTTGACTTCATGTTTCAGTGAGCATCAAGATTTATTTTTCTTCAAGAGGGCAAATATTGATCTCAGCTTTGGTTCAGTCAATATTTAGCTTGATTCAATAAATCTTATATTGTCACTTTAATACCCACTTAATGCTACAATAACTCTAGGAAATATTTAGGAAGTTGTTCATTATTTCCTTACATTTAATGTTACACATGACTTATCTCTTTATATGATTTCAAACTCCCATTTGCTCTCTTACCACCAATTTTTGTTTCTAATTTCCTTCTCAGTGCCATACATTTCTTCACATCCAGATTTTGTTTCCTTTCCTTAGCACTTTTCCTGTCTCCTCCTCTGTCTTTCATCACCCTTGAAAAGAAGTAACGTATTTGTGTTCAATAATGCCATAAAGTGATATAACACAAATTATATTAATTGCAGACCACAGTTTTCTCGGCTTTGAATGGCAAAAGCGTTGGTGTGCTATCAGTAAGACGGTCTTCTATTATTATGGAAGTGACAAAGGTAATTATAATAATTATGATAAACTATAATATGATCTCTTAATGCACAGAAGACTATGAAGTCTTTAGTGGAGTTGGAAACTGCAAATCTAAGGTCATTTTAAGAAAGCAAATAAAAATTTTAAAAGAATAGTTGGTTCTTAAACAGTGCTGTGAATTTTAAAAATGTGTAAATATTTTTCAGAATCTGAAGTGATGTGCTTATTTTCTAAAGCAGGAAAACTGAGGAAAAAAGATGAAGTTACTTACAAAGCTACTTTGTGCTCCAATAACAGTTAGCTATTGGGTTTGATAGTATGTTGGTACTCAATTAATTTACTGCACAGGAAATGCTGTTTCTGCCCAAAAATGTTTTTAATTGTAAAACACCCTCTAGCAATTATACCTTCAGAGTTCTTTAAAGATAGTTCTGTCCAAGAAAATGTTAGTCTAAAAACAGCATAGTGGAGTTCCATGTTTCTTTTCTACTTTTCATCCTGCTAGTTTCCCATCATATTGTCTGTTTCCAGAGTTTTGTTAGCATATCTGCTAAATGTTGTTTGTTCTTTTCTTTACTTGTTCCTTGGGGTTTACAGATGGATCAAAGTTCAAAACATAAATGATCTTTCTTCAAAAATTTTGAGGATGTGTGGCAAAGCACAGATTTGTCAATAATAATTTGTTTCTCTGGAAAAATACCTTGTGCTGTTTGTTTATGTATAGCTGTACATTATCTAGTACATAAAAAATAGCTTTTTTTTTTGTTTGGGCTAGTTCTTAAAGATTGTTTTGAGTTTTTAGATCTTTGGCTTCTCATCTGCTAGTTTTTGCAAAAGAAAAAGGAAAGAAGAAAAAGCATTGTATTTTTTTTTCCCCCTCTTGTGTCTATGCTAATAATTACGCTTTCTAGCATATGATTTTTGGATTAAGGCAGGAAAACTGCCCCCTCTCCCCTTTTTTCATCCATTTTTTTTTTTCCTTTGGCAACAACCTGACTATCAAGGCTTCGTTGTAATTTCTAATACCTATGCTGGAAGTTAAGATCTGTGGAAGCCTGTTCCCTAGCACTCCGCATGTTACCGTCATGTTAGGAATTCACTGCAATACACTGTGGAATCTCTTTCCTGTATGGATCTATAGACAGATGCTTTGGCTTATAAATCTACAGCTTTTGTAGGCTGCAGGTTGTTTGGGGAAGATACTCGTAACTGTAACCTAATGATATGGGAGCGGCACATAGTCCATGGACCATTTTTTGGGAATTCTGTAGACATGGCTGGACACCAAACAGTAACTCGCAGAGGAAGCAAACAAATCAGATGCCCGATTTTCTATCTGTCTCCATATGACTGGTGCTGTTAGTGCAGAAAACCTAGCACAGGATGGTGGAATGGTATTGTCTTGCAGATCTGGGATGACCAACAGTTGCTCCAGAGCTTGCGTTTGAAGAAGAAGGCTTTTTCCTAGACTGTTTTGAGGTACTTTCTTCGGCCCTCTGAAGCCATAGGACATAAAGGTGCCCGTTCCAGTGCAGAAGCAAGTTGCCATCATTGTGCAGAAACCGGATACCAGGGATTGCTTTAGTTCCATGGCAAACTAGTTTGCTGTTGAAGCTGAGCTGTTGTGCTGATGATTGTGAACATATATGCTGCTGTTTATTATGCTGTTTAGCTGCAGAGTGTCAGCATGGGCGAGGTGTGTGATGAGACAGTCCTGAGGAGACCTGGCATTTAGTCACTGGAAGAACCTGAAACTGTTTTCACACCTACTGTTATGGCCAGCAGTGGTACCTGCCATAGTATGCTGTCGTATTGGGGCCCTTCTTTTGCTTTGACCTTTGATGCTGTACCAGATAACTTGGGCCACAAACGTGTGTTCTTACCAGCTGTACAACAGTGTACATTTGGGTGGCTTCATGAAAATTGCTCCCATGTCCTGAATCATTGGGATGGCATCTGTCTGAATGATGCTGGTATGTCCTAGCCTGTGCAATGTCTGGAGATGTTTTGTATCAGCTGGAACCTGGTTTCTGACAGGTTCCAGGGCTGATTCACACAATAGGAAAATTCTCCCTTGTTTGTGTGAACCCAGTTTGAAGAGAGACGAGGGAGAGGGGGATTCCATACATGCTCAGTTGTGCTGCACTTTTAACGGGTAATGGAGTGCTCGTGCCCATGTTGTGGGACATCACACAGAGAGGCAGCAGGGATTTCTAGGTCCTGCTTGGCTCGTTTTGTACTGTGTATGTTTTTTAAAACTGGACACATAGGTGGGTAATCTGTGAAGGATATTTTGTCTGGTGCACTGTGTATTTTGTTGACCAAGGTTTGATTTTCATGCTTAAGTATTAGTGTAGTGTAACTGAATACTAGATGTGAGGCTATAGGGTGCCTTTTTATTAGGTTGCATACATTTGTTGTTTCCAAAACACTTGTAATTCTTCTGACTTTATCCTTTTTACATGGGGAAAGCAAGAAGTATGGAAGTGTATAAAGCTTGCGAACACATGAAAGGAAAAGTTCCAGAATCATTTATTCAGAGCTGTATGATGAAAAATGTGAGACCTAGTCCAGGAGAACATAGTACAAGCTAAAGCCTGTGAAAATATAGTAAATGGCCGTGTGTTTGTGTATGTGTGTGTGCTCACCTAAGAGATTACAAGCATCATTTTAACAGTTGTGATGCCTGCAGGCTAGTGAATGTGTTGTTTCCTTGTTTCCTCCTCCCCTATGTTCTCATACATTTGGTGCAGCATTGGATAGTGACACAATGTTATTTATCCCTGCAATATAGATAGGTCTAAGTGAATCACCTACTTTTTTTTTTCCCCTGATCAATGATATGTGGGGTAGATGGAGGAACAAGGCTTAAAGGTTTGACCTAATCGCATGTCAGAAATAGGTATTGTAGGAAGCACGTGTCTATCTGTGCTTGTGCTGCGTTATCTGCTGCCAGTGTGTGGCCCACAACATTGCAGAGGACTGTGTCCAAATATCAGAGCTGGCTTAGATTTCCAGAAGCTTGCCTGGTCCTCCTTTTCATAGTCTTTCCTTCTGTAAACCTTTTTCAGTCCTTCTCTTTTCTTTTCTTCCATGCAGTTGCATCTTGAGTTTGGTACCCTGTTTGCATATTGTTTTTCTGTATGATCTCTGGCAGTACCTGTGTACTCAGGCACCTAGGTGGTATGGCTAACCTTTCACATCTCAAAGTGCGTGTGAAGAAGGGAAGTTAATTTGTGGCTTTATAAATGAATGAATTAGTGGCTTTGTTACTTCTTCCTCACTAGGCCACAATGTTATATGCCCTTCTGTCTCAGCAAACTGGAAAAATCAGCTAGATGTTTAGCAAGACAGTAACTGATAACATCATGGCAATCTTTTCCCCTGTTAATGGGCAATAAAAATTTATTTTAATTTTTATAACTTGAAAATGGTATCTGACTGCCAGTAATATGATGTTGAAGAGTGGGATAATTCAGAGGCTTTTAGAACAGTCTTGAGTTTCTTTCTTTTAGATTTTTTTTTAAATTTTTAACGTGAACATGAAAATTTGTGATTTCTCTGAATAGTAAGATAGTGATGGCCAGGCAAATGGATGGACTGCTTCTATTTGTGCAAAAGAGGAAGATGGTTTTTAGTTTATTTTGTGTTTTGGTTTTTTTTGAAGAAGTTTGTGACTGAACAATATTAAGGGAGAGGAAAGCCTAGTTAGGGTTGCATTTGCAAATCAGTCCTGGTGACTCGCCTAACCAGGCTACTGGAATTTTTGCCACATGCTAAGGTTGCAAATTTCTCCTTCTAGGAGTGAGGAAAGATATACAAACCCAATGGAAAGCCATTGAAGTATCATTTTGCTTTTAGCTACAGACCTCCTTCTCTTAGTTCTCCTTCTCCGAACAACCACATAGGGAAAGGCAAAAATCCTTGTTTAGTTTAGAGTTTACTTTTGACAGAATCCATAATTGAAATCTGCAGGGATTGTGAACGTTCAATAGGACTTTGTTGTAGCAGGGTGATGGCAATCAAAGGCATCTTTCTAATGAGTAGTGAATCTTTTGCTATGAGAATGTTAAATTCAGTCCTTGAGAGGCACACTTGCCAGTAATAGTGCGTTATTTTAAAAAAATAAATAACTATTGAGTATAAGCAAACTGAATATAAACAAACTGATGCCCTAAATAGTGTGTTTCGATCCTTGCCTCCATTTCTTAGTTTTTTAAATTTAAATTTCTCCAAGGACTAGATTAAAGGAAAGGGGAGTGAAAAAAAAGTCAATCCCATTTCAGATCTGCTATCTAAAAGGGGAAAACTTCTATGCACACGTTTGGGAAGGACTCTTCCAAAAGCTGGAAAAGGAATTACCATTTTGGAGATACTGACACTACTATTTTTAGAAAGCAGACATCCTGCATATGGAAAAGTATGTGAAACTACATTTAGCATGAAGCCATGTAAACCATAAGATCTTATGGGCTCCTAATTTCAAGATGAAGACAGTTAAATTATAGATTCTAATAGTATCTATAAATACTTTATCAGTCTCTGAAATATTTCTGTTTGCCTTTGTTCCTTATGCCTTTCTCTGTAACTTCTTTCCTTTCTACTACCCCAGTCCTCTCTGTTCTTCAGAATGCACTAATTCTTTTTACATGTGCTAATAATATGGGCACATAGCCTTAGGCCTCAAATTTACAACCCAATCATTTCAAGACCCCATTGAAGGTTTACCCTTCTTTGTTTTAAAAGTTCCCATGGACTCAGTTATGCAAGGTTACTTCAAAACCCTTTTTCTCTGCTTCCCTTGAGACTCTTTTTTTCCCAATATAATATTGGCCCTGTTTCCGTTGTTAACAACATTTCACTATTTTTAGGATAAATTAAGTTATATGTAAGAAAAATATTTGAAGTGGCACTCAAATTTAATTCAGATCTCTATTTTCTCTATTTTAAATATAGTCCCTCATATTTATTTCTCTTGAATATTTACATACTAGTTTGACTTTTTTTTAATACTTAATGCCTGACTCTCCACTCTGTTATACTAGTTTTTTACAACTCTGAATTCCTGATGCAACATGATCTACACAAATCCAGATTTATTTTTCTGTTGTGTGCCTGATATGGGGAGAAGGGAAGGAGGGCCAAACTTCAAAACCCACAGAATGCTTATGTTGGGAATACTTATAAGACTTCCTTTTTCTATGCTTTTAACTTGGTGTCTGCCTGTAGAATCCTACAAATACATGGTGTTACTGTAATGGAAAGGTTACAGCTTTAGCAGCTAAAAAGGAAAGAAGAAAAGTAAAAAAGGTACCTTCCCTGATGGAGTGATGCCAGATTATACACTGCAAGATCTGGTCAGAGGGATGTCCACTGCTAGTTTCATTTCTGCCCTTTGACATAGAAATGTTAGTGAACCATAAGGAAGGAGGAGGAGATGAGAGCAAAGAACAGCTTATTATGAAATTAGATTTGGCTTAATTGTGGAACAATTTATGCTTGATATTCACAATCCTTTTTGTTTTTACAAGACTGATAGTATTATGTTTTTTGCGGTTCTGTTCTATGTTGTTCTGGGACAACTTTCCCATGTTGAATTGCAAAGCCCTATCTTGAGAAAATAAGAGGCAGCAAGAATGTTATTGGTCTTCAGAGATGTGTGTTGCATCCGCATGTCTCTCCCTAGTTTCTCCTAAACATGCTGTTGTATTTGTGTGTAGGCAAAACGCCGGTTCTGATTTGGGGGTTCAAAATTGAAGTGAAATCTCTGTAATGTAAATGTGCTTCCTGAAGCTACTTTTTAAGCTCCTGCCATAAAAAAACCTATAATTTTAAGTCTCCAAGTAAAATCTTTAAGTCTTCAAAGTTTTAAAATATCAAAAACTGTTTAACTCTCCCGAAAGCACAGTCACCAGAAACTACTTCTGATATCAACAATATAACTCTGAATGTGAAAGATTATAGAAGTCACTGTGGCACTAACTTCACATGGCAGCTTTAAACTGAAAGCCCAGGTCTGTTTGCACACCTATTTAGCTGCAAGCCTTTGCTGATAAATGAAGTCAAGGTGATTGTTGAGTCTGATGATCACAAGATAGCCCTGCAGTCAAGCCTGCACCTGACTACTGTGCCTGGACAAATAGCTACGTGGGTCATGGTTTGCTCCACAGGGGTCAGGTGATGGGGTTGGTCTCCAGTCCTACCTGGAAAGGTGTATTCTGCAAAAGCAACTGGGATTTGTAGACCTCCATTGCTTGTCACCATCAGAGCATACAGCTGAGCTATAGCTGACCTGTGTCTTGCCATTCTGTATTTGTGGAGCCATATCTGACTAGGTCTTATCTCTGGCTTGCTGCCACAGGGATTGTGAATGCATATTGAGTCTCTCTCAACTTTAATGGGTTCTGGGTCAGGGCTGTGAAGTGTCTCATTGTCTTGAAATATCATGGTCAACATTTTAAGCATATGCATAATGCTACACTGGACTTTAATCAGAGGTATTTTACTGCACAGACAATAAGAAGCAGAAGTGGCAATGCTATGACTAGTCTGTTGCTGTAAAGGTCGGTGAAAGTTTTTAATAGCAAAGGATATATATTTTTTGGTGATGCATACAGGTAATTTTCATTAGCACTGGAACAATGTCTTCAGAGAGATAAGACAAGGACAGTATAAACAATAAAACAATCAAATGCAGTGTGGATGCCATGCATCGTGTTCCCCTTCCAGTGCAAAGTACGTCATCTTTGTGTTTTAACTGTAATGCTCTTTGAAAGAATGAGTACCAGTACAGAGATCATCTGAGATTACCTCTGTAAAACTGTATTGCCCTAAAAAGGATCATCCATGTCATAGAGAAGCAGTCTGAGAAATAATCCAAGAGACTAAATTTGAATACTTGCCTTATTTTTATCTTGGCAAAATGTTTTTACCTTTTGAACCTGGTGTTTGTTTTTTCTGTCTATGTGCTCCTATCTTCCTGGGTTTTGATAAAACTACAGCATGGGAGAATAAGAAATTAGTGTGTTTCCCTTCATCTTCTCCCTGAGTCACAAGTGAGGGAACAATAAAATTTCTAGGCAGAAATGATTTTCATTAAAAGGGGACCTAGTTAACCTGTTGCAAGTTATTATTTCTAATATCTGCCTTGGTGTGATTCCATGAATTTTGCATCTGTGTTCTGTTTGAGGTGGAGGATTGAGCAAATATAAAATATTAGTACTGAAACATTAGTACTTAATTAAGACATAATAAAACTTACTGTGGGGGAAGGGACAAGAAGAGAAAATAGAACAGTGCCCTGGATTTTCTCATGTAATTGTGTTATTCGATATTTACTTGCCCTGGGTGAGAGTTCATAAAAAGGAACACAAAGAATTTTTGTCTATGTGCATGTAGGATTGCTATCAAGAATATTTGTATGGTGACTGCCCCTACATCCACTGATGTTCATGTTGCTCTGTTAGCCAATTTTTGCCCTCTCAGGAGTGAAAAAATGATTTTTGAATGTTACAATTTCCTAGTAAATTTCCAGAAAGATGACAAAATTATATTGAAAATTGTAGTTTTTCCTGTTTTATCTACTGTAGCAGTTTTCTCCTTTTGTTGACAAACATAAGCAATGGATGCACCATTTGCACCTAAGTTCTGTTCAGCAATACTTAAAGTAGTTTTGCTGTTGTGCCTGATGCTTATTGTTAATAAATGCTTTTCTCTGCTGTGGGAAAAAACCACTCAATGACATTTTATTTCATTTGCAACGGCACTTTGATCTTTGTTTGCCTGGGTAAAATGTGACTCATGATACCTATCTTCACTTGAATGCTGCACTGTGAGCTACAGAAATTGCGAAACTGAATTACTTGTACTTTTTTGGTTTGTTTTTAATATTCACAAAAACATGCCAGAGCACATAAAATCAGATGCAGGGTTTGGTCTGAAGAGCTCAGAAGGATTGCACCAGGTGCTGCTTGCCCAGCATGCAGTATTTTTAAACTCAGGTCTGTTCTAAGTGATACTTTTATAAACCAGAACCTTTGAAAAGAGGAATTGTCTTTAAAACAACCACATGGCTCTACATAATAAACTGTGGTAGGGCTCAGTACTTTTATTATCTAATTAAACATTTGCTGTGTTGAGAGAAATGTTTTTGGAACACACACCTGAAATTATAACAAAATTCATGCTGTATTTCTGCCATGTGGAAAGAAGGCACATCTGGGAGTGGGTGGGAGAATGTGAAAAGAAGCTTTTCCAATTGCTTAAAAGGGAGTTTAAACTTTGAGTTAAAATAAAGGAGGGAGCTCAGCAAGTTCTGAGTTAGACAGGTTTTCCCATTGGTTTACTGAACCTGAAAGAGACACTGACTTGTAGGAAATGTGTCTTGCAAGTTCCAGTTCTTGGCTTTCCCTAGATGCAAGTGTCATACGTGCACTTCTTACTAAATAAGACCACCATCTGTAAACACCCCCCTGTGGAATTCCTTAGGCATCCTACAGAAAAATGTATTTTTATGTATGTCTTCCTTTAAAATAAAGCTTTATCTCCAGAAGCATTACTTAATAATTTTGCTGAAAACCTCCCTGTTCTTTGTAAAATTAATGAAATAGAAAACAAAATCTGAATAACCGATAACCTGCTGAGCCACTTACGTTCGCTGTTGTAAATGAAGCTCTACCTTTGTTTTTTATCTCCAACAGACAAACAACAGAAAGGTGAATTTGCCTTAGAGGGCTACACCATCAGAATGAATAATAGCCTTCGGAAGGATGCAAAGAAGGATTGCTGTTTTGAAATCTCTGCTCCTGATAAGCGCATTTATCAGGTTGGACTTTTTTATGTTGACTTGAAATTAAATTGATAAAGCCTTTACAATTCCAGTTACTGAATTAACGTTTCAGTAAAACAACTTTCACTGACATCTTAATGAAAAAGGGAAACCCTTCCTTGCTTATGTTGTATATTCATATATTAGGAACAAAATCTGATTTAAAGTATGTCTGTATGTGTTCAAATATTATCTTTTCAGACAAGAGCAAGGAAATCTATAATCTTTATCTGCTGGTCATTTCAGTGTTAGCATTTTATTATCTATTGTATGGTATGTCTGTGTGATTTCTTGGATGAATTAAATAGTAAAAAAAAAAGTTAAAATAAGTCTGTGTTAAATACATATTGTATTGATCGTGGCTTTGCAAAGAAAATCTACGTAAAGGCACATATCAGCTGTGCAATTCAGAGATCTATCAGCTAGACATCAATATGGAATGTAAGTTTAATAAGTTTTAAATATCTGAGATTGCAGTTGAAAGCCAGTTAATTAAGTTGTCAGGTAGTGTGTTGGAGTCTGACAAGAACATTTTTAAGAAAACTGTACTGAGCAGTCGAAAGAAATTCATGGGTGTCTTCTAATTGTCAAGGGCAAATTTTGTTCATCAGTTCTGGCTTTGACATTGATGAAGAGAAGCAGCTTTTTTCTGCACAGCTGCCAGCTGCTGATCAGAGTTTCAAATCCATCATCCTCTCCTTCAATTAAGTAAATTTGTCAAAATTAGCTGTACATTATAAGAAGCATCCTTGCAAGAAAAGTACCAGAAGACATGAAAAGAATTACTAATGGTTTCTTGAGGAAGTGACGAGAATACTACAGTCCCTTTTTTTTAAATTGCTAATGTAATTGTAGTTTTTTTTGTAATTATTTCTAGTAGTTATTAATAAATGTTTAATAGTTTACAGCTGCCACTCCCAAAGAAGCAGAGGAATGGGTACAGCAAGTCAAATTTGTAATCCAAGGTAAGCCAGCCAGTAGAGCAGTAGCCTTTGTTGCCAGTACTGCTTAGTGATGGTAGTTCTGTCCATTAACATATCTGTCATGTTTATATATGTAGTATTCCCATTTGTCCAAGTTTGGAAAGCAAGTGCTAGTTTTCAATCATGTTGTAGCTTTTATATGACTTTTCTCCTTTTGCAGGGTTTTTGCCTTTCTCCAAGAATACTGCTTAGCTTGAAAGCTCTCCCTTAAGAACATTATAAGAAAATAAGCAGAATATACTGTAAGCACCAGGTCAAAGAAGAATTATGTTTTAATTTTGCATACATTTTTGCTTAGGCATTCTTTTCAAGTAAATGTTGACTTTTTAAACTGCTGTTGTATAGATTTGGAATCTAATGCTATTCCTGAGGAGGAGGAGGAATATGACGATGTTGGACAAGTGAGCAGTGAACCAACAGATGATAGCATTTATGAAGAAGTTAAAGGTATTGTTGACATCTTTTACTTTGTGACTTGTGATTATTTTGTCTTGTCTGCTTCTGGTTTGATAACTCTGAGTGGCTAAAAGTGAGTAAAGTAACTCAATTAATAAGATAATTTCAGATTTCAAGTTTTGCTATGACATTGGAGAAGAATGTGTCTTCAACCAGATCTGAGTAAGAACAGTTCAGTTTTCTTTAGCAGGGGCATCAAAATAGTGCAGAATGTGTAAAAGTGGTCTCAGGAGACTCACGGCTCGTTAACATTCTCTGGTATGCAATTTTTTTAAATTAAAAACTTGATTTGCCTTACAGCTTTTTCCATCAACTTGCCCATCATTTTTTTCTTTATTCATTTTAGCATTGGTATGAAGTAAAAGTTTGCAATCACTCCATATGTTATCAGCTGCTGCCTAACCTTTGATGATATAATCCTGCAAGAAAGTGGTGTGTTGGTTTGAAAGGGCTCTGGAGATAAACTGTAAATAAAGCCACACAAGTATTGACATTGTTTTGTTTCATATCTTCCAGCATGACTATGATTATACAGAAACTTTTTACTGTGGGTTTTATGATGTGGTCAAATGATTATGCCTCTAGATAGTCCAAGTGTATCTATCACATGGCAAAGCAAAAGAAAAAGAGGTTGGCAAAAGCTCTTGGAGTTGATTATAGACATTCAGGTGGTCGTTCCTGATTATATTTTCATAAGCTATGAAAAAATCAATTTTTCAGTTACCATTAGTTGACAAATCGTATTTTAAAGTGATATGACAATTAATAATCACTTTGTATGAAATAATGTTCTATGCCCCTTGCTGTTTGGGGCAGTGCAATTACCAGCAATAACTTGAGAGAAAAAATCAGTCATGTCATGTGATACTAACTTTCTGTATCTATTAGGTTGAATATTCTGACCATTGGGGAAAAGAACCCTTTATAGTGTGCCTTGGTTTTCATTTTAAGGTCATTTCAGTGAACCAAAGGAGCAGAGAACATGAGTGACTATTGAAAATTATTATCATAATATTGCAGCAGCAGTCAATTCTTTAAGAGCTGTTTTTTGTGGTTCCATTTCTTTGAATTGTACCTAGATTACTTTAGCACAGAATATGTGTTCTGCTGAAATGGGGTGCAGTGTGTCATGCATGCTGAAAAACTCTTCTGCAGTGAATATAAAAACTACATGACAGGGCTTTATCTTATAGCTAGAGGATGCAGCTAAACTTTATTGCAGTGTTTTTTGGATGCTCAGGCTCTTACAGAAGGTGATCTTGTATGCCTGCTTATGCTTTTGTTAAAGCAGCTCTAGATGTATCCTGGGATAAATTACTGTTTTCTGAGCTTCACATATCTTTTTGTATGAATGTCAAACAGTAAGTAGATGTGGAACAGTAACACATAAAATATTAGTAGAGGGCCAGTAGTTAATATACACTTTGAGTTCTTTGCTTTGAGCTCTTGTCTTCAGAGAATTGCTGCCTTGATAGGGTTCTGCAAGAATTTAGAGTGTTTTCACTTGTATCGCATTTTATGTCAGTTTTCCAGGAACTGTTGTCTCCTAATGTGGCTAATAAACCTGAAATGTAACAGAACAGCTGTCACAAAGGAAGGATAGCTCTTCTGTTATTCAAGAAGTGTAGTTTCAGTGTTTAGTTAATTTATTTCCCCATGATCTTGGAGTGGTGTTTCATTTTCATGTTATCAAGTAGGAATTATTTTTCTTTATCTCATGCTTTCTTTATCTTGTCTATTTGAATTGTAAACTTTTCAGGAAGGACCATCTTACCTTGTACAGTGGAGCTCACCATCTTACCTTGTACAGTGGAGCTCTTAATTTTGGCTGTGATGTGTTGGCATAACTAAGTAAAAATAAAGCATAAGTTTGCAATAGATTTTAGGTGATTAAAGCATCTTTTTCTCTTCCATAAATATGTTTTAATAGTCATTTGCTTAAACAGAATTAAAACCTTATGGATCTGATGCCTTAGAGCAGTCCTTCTTTTCTTAATCCATAGCATATTGAATAATATTAGATGCAATGCTAGTTGACAAACTTCACAGGAGCTGGCCTTGTTTGGTTCTTGTACAGTTAGTTGATTGTAAAAGAGCACACTCCAGTTTGGTCTCATCTGCCTTCAACAGGCCTGATTGGCTGCATTTAATTTTAGTTGTCTCTCCTTTCTATTTTCCCAGGTAAGTGAATTACTCTTTCTTCCTTTCATGGTCAAAGGGTGAAGTGTCATTATCCCTGTTGTTACCTGACTTAATAATACAGAACAAATAAGAAATTCTGAATGCCTGTTAAGAAAACAGAAAAAAAAATTATTTGTACAGCTGCAAAGCCATGCTAAGCTCTGGAGTGGAGAAGGCAAATATGCTAGATCCCTGTGATGAGGGAGAAGAAGTTAGTCTTCACTTTGTTTTTATTCTCAAAGCATCTTCACGTTAGAAGCTTCTGATCCTCTTGTTTCCACAGATCCACTAACTTTAAAAAGATAGAATTTCAGGTACACATCTCATTGTACCATGTTATTATTTATTTGGCTATAATTTGCAATTTCTCAAGTAAGTAAAATTTTGCATTTCTATGGTTCTCCAGTGTTTTTTGTATCAGCATTTCAGAAGCAAAGTAAGCCAGTTCATGATGCAGTCCATTTGGGAATATTGGGTTTGGTATTTGAGTAAAGTGTGTTTGGATTAAAAAGAGGATATGGAAATTTTTGCACAGTATTGAAAATCAGGAATTTTTGAGAACTGTTGCAGTAATCAGGACTGACTGATGCTGTATTCTCAAGCTATCTCATTGCTTAGCTATTTTTTTTTCCCCTGCTTGTGGCAGGAGACAGTGTAGATGAAGTTTCCAGGCAGGAGCTGGATAGCTTCAAACCAGTATCCAGAACGGTAACAGTCTATTTAGCCTATTAAAAGCATAGATTTCAGTGACATTCAATTCGTACTGTCTGCTGACAGGAGGAGGCGGTACAAAGAAAGATGAGAAAATTAATCTTTTGATCTGTTAAGTCACTTTCTTCTTTAATAGCACGTACAAATTCATCTTTACCATAGAAGCATCATTTTCCTGGTGCTCAGTCAGTGTTTTACTGTGGTTATTCAGATAGAGTGAAAAACGTCAGAATTGCCAGAAATTTCCCAACTTGTAAAACCTTCCTTGCAAGATTTTTCAGGAAATGAAAGCTTTATACGGTTTTCAATGAATTAAGCTTTTGTCTTTTTGTTTTTTAATAACAACACAGAGGAAAACTTGGGTTAAGCAAAATTAAAAGTAGTGTCAGTGAAGGCCCATTTTTGCTTAATTTGCTATTTGTTTTCTACCTTAGTACACTCTATATAATTTTGCAGTCCACAGCTGGATATTATAAGCTGTAACATAGCTTCTAAAACTGTGGTATTAAATCACTCTGTGTGTGTGTAGAGCTACATAGATGCATAGAGTTTCTAGCTTGGTGGTGTTTTAAATAATGGAGCTGTCCTTGTCAGAAGAGAGAACACTTATGATGTCATCTGTTACAGCCTGTTGTGGTTTTGTGTGGTGGGTTTGTTTGGAAGCAGGGAGGGGCCACAGTGATGGCTCCTGTAAGTAACTGCTAAGAGTTCCCCCAGCTCCCAGTCTGCTCTGGCAGCAAGGGAGGGGCTACAGTGGTGGCTCCTGTAACTGACTGTTAAGGGCTCACCCCCACCCTCCGGCTCCAAGGGTTTAGTAACCAGGAGGGGCAGTGGGGGAAGGAGTATCACCGATCTGGCCCCTGTGAGAAACTGCTGGAAGTTTCCCCAGCTCCAGGCTGGACCCACCCCAGGCCAGGGCTGAGCCAATCGGCACCTCTGCAAATAACAGATTGAAGAGGGGGAACAGAAGATGGGGGTTAGTGTGGCCCCGGGCAGGGCCTGGCCCAGCTCGGCCATCCAGCCGCCTGCCCGGTTTCTTCCGTAACCTGACCTGCCATAGCCCAAGCCTCCGCCATGGCTCGCCTGAGAATCCATTTCCTCGGGAGCCGATGAACACCTGTGGCAGAAGAGAGAGGCAGGATCTCAGAGAGATGGCTATGCAGACACACTCTGGTCAGAGAAGAGAAGCGAGAGGAAAGGAAGCATGGCTGGAATTTCCCCTGCAGCGTGGTGAAGATTCATGGGGACGCACAGTTTGTCCCTTGG